CGCCCACAAAAAATTCTAAAATTTGCATTTGGGTGGCATTGCTGAGGGCACCTGACACTTGTCTCGCTCGGCTGTTAAAACTATGGGCTCCCACTTTTTGCAGCATACGAGTATGGTATTAGTCTTCTCACTCCGACAGTATGCACACTGCTCAACTCTCCTGGCAATTCAATTAGAATCTAGGCAAAGTGCTGCACGTCACATATATACACACATTTTAATTAAATAAATTCAGTGTTTGCTTGATGCTTGGGCGTCATAAACATTTTGGGGAAGAAGCATGAAAATGAAAACATTTAACTGCCGGTTACGTTAGTTTGTCCCAAGGGTCGAAGGGCGTATCCGGTTGCTTCGGTTGTGTTTGCATAAAATGCAAGAAAATTGCCCTGGCTGCAGTTTTCCGAGGAGGGGAAGGAGCACACAACACATCGTTTTGCGAAACGTCAACAGATTTGCTTTTCAGCCTTCGTGTGAGTTTTCCCTGCTCGCTTCTCCACATAATCAAATTTAACCTGACTGCCAGCAACGAAGGAGCTCGAGATGATGATGATGTGGCCTTTGGAAAGGAGTGAAACCCCTTTAATTTCTCCCCACTGCAGTTGTCCGAATGGTGCAGTATTTAATTGAACTTCCTGCGCACTTTCCTCTAAAATTCCGATCTCTAGAACATGCACATCGTAATGAACTGAACCAATTTGCATCTGCATTCCGGGTACTTAGAATTCAGGGTACTGAGCAAATTTATCCGCCTCCTGAGGCGTAAACTGGGCTTGTGTAATGAGAAAATAATTTTCAGAGAAATATTCTTTTATGTTTTTAGAATAACCAATTTTCCTAGAAATTTTCCTGTAAAAAGTATATTACAAAAACGAAATATTTTTTCCGATTTATATGACTTAAAAATTATTAATGTTTCGTATAACTTTTCCAGATTTATGTGTATAAATGTACATTAAATATTTACTTAAAGCCTTTATCGCAATGGAATAGTTGTCGAATGCTCATATTAATTACTCTCTTTTACCCCTTTTTGCCAGTTGGCCACAATCCAGTTTTCAAATATTTGCAGAAGCCAACAACTTCAATATTTATCCTGCCATCCGGCAATGGCAACTAATTAAGCTATTTTTTATGGCCCACTCCATCGGTTGGCCAACATGGAGCTGCAGTTGGCCAACAGCTCGCTCTGAAACGGGCAGAAGGAATCCTGAATCCTGAAAGCCACCCGCACCACCGCAGACTACAATGAACGCTAGAATGCGGGTTCGGGTCTTCATGTTATCCTGTGGCTTTCGGTTTCATAGTAAATTATTGTTATTATTATTTTACGGGGACGAAGGAGGAGTGCCAGCTGCAGTTTCAGTGCGGTTGCGGACAGTGTTGAAATTAAACACTGTAAGCAGATTTCCTAAGCTCTCCTCCTCTAGCGAACGAAATCAAGTTGCTGGCAAATGGTTTTGTGGCTTTGGTCTTTCAACAAAATTAGGCAACGCCAGATAATTATTTATATTTTGCTGAAACGGAGCAAAGGCATAATTGCCCGTGGTTCGGACATCTAAATTTGTCAATGGTTTCGTTCGAAACTTTTGGAAAATTCTTGTGGTCCAAAGACCAAAATGTAGATATTTCTCAGAACTGGCTTTGCAGAAAATATGCAATTTGCATTATTTAAATTTCACTGGACTACCAAGTAGGTCAATAAGAGTGAGGTAGATTTTCCAGAAAACCCTGCCTAAACTTTTGAATCATTTCAACTTTTATTTCCACCTGTAGATCGTTTAATAAAAAGGCTCCTTAATGCAAACAAAATAATAATAATAACGCCTAGTGCCGACCAAAGTTTAGGCAAATAAAACCCCGAGAATCGGACTGGCTTAAGCCCAAAAATGACGGAGTTGAAAAGTGCCCAAAAATGTGAAAAAAGAAACTTTGTTGAGTCTTCAATTTAATGCTTGGTTACCTTTCTTCTTTGGCAGTATTTTTTGCCGTTGTTAGGGCAACCAATCTCGAAACTGTTTAAGTGGCCCACCCAACACTTGAGCAAAAAACAAGTTTAAAGTGCACCCCCACCACGGCGAGAATGAATGGAATTGAGACCCGAACGCTTACCTTTATTGTAAGGGATTTACGCCTGAAAGCATGTTATAAAACAATATCTAGAAGATTTATTGTACGGCCTACCTGGCTGCAGGTGCTTCTCCCTTCATTGATATATGCACAGTGGTTGCTGAGCCTTTCATAAATTTTCGGAGGCAACTGTACTCCTCTGGATCCTTAATGTATGCAGAGCCACCTTGGATGCGGATTTTTTGTTGCCTTATTATTATTGCCATTTAGGCTAATTCGTATTTATACCTTGATTTTAAGAGAGAAATATTGTGGCTTATCTCAGGGAACTGTATTAAATAAAATAAATAAGCGGCCATTTGTTTTTAAATAATAAAAACATCTTTTATTTCACTTTCCCCACAAAATAACGTAGTCTCTAATTTGTATTTATCACATGTAATCACATTTAGTCATGTGATATATTGTCGCTTGTGTAGGGAAACTCTGCGTCTAAGAACTCTGCAGGAAACTGTACCACTTAATTGAAGAGACAGTAACTTTTTCGCAAGTCAACTTCGAGCTTAATCATCCGTGCTTAAGTGGTGGAGAAATCCCTGAGGCAAATATCATTTTAACAATGGCATTAAATGAATTTGCATAATTAGCTGCAGCTTAGTCAAGTCCTCGACATCCAAGCAAATCCACGTTTTTCGCTCCCCTTGTGGCTTTGGTCCTGTGGTTATGATGCATGTGTGACATTATCTCAGACACGTTGTGCCTAATGTGTTCGCACAGCGGGTGTCCAAGACTTGGGGGAATAAATTGTGGCCAAGGATGAGGAGTAATTGAGAATATTTAAGTTTGAATTAGGAATTTAATATAATTTTTCCCGTTTCTTAGTTTCCATAAATGTCCTTTGATATAAAACATAAATTATTAATAATGCTTTGCTTTTTGAAGTTTGATTTATGGTAGCTTACTCAGCTAATTGCGTGCTTTGCGTTAATTGGAAATACATTTAACTTGGCAAAGCCGTCTAATCCCGGCTCTCAATTCATAACTCAAGCTAAACCGAATCAAATGAACAACAATTTGCCAGCTAATTAATAATGGAAATGCAGCAAAAGGAATGCAAATTGAATGAGCTTAAGATTTAATCGCCGGCAGCAAAGCGAGACCATAAATCTCTCAACGGCAATCGGGGCGAAAGGACGTTGTTGGACGAAGTTGGTCGAGTGAAAGTGAGATGTGAAAAGTTTAGAGGCCAAGTTAAGTCAAGTCTCCGGCCAAGCATGTTTAGCAAAGTTCATTAAGCACTTAACAATCAGAGCGCACCAAGGGAACTTAATGTGCTTTGGCGTAATTCAACTAAACAAAGTACCAAAGTTCTTAGCCCACTTTTCCGGGGAAGAGGGCAACGAGTCGGCCCTCTGCATAGATGAAAATCAAATGCGGTCATATGCCCACACACACGCACACCTAGGCGCACTCCACCCACACATGCAGATGCAGGCTGAATGTTTTGGTCATTCGAGAGCGTCCTGGCATTTTTGCATTTACCGTCAACGTCCCCGTCAGTGGCTGTAAAACTGTGCCACAACAGAATGTTGTGGCTGTGGCAGTGCATCCCCCACCTGTCACTCAAAAAAAAAAAGGAATGTTAGAAATTAAAATAAAATAAAACAATAAGAGAACATTAGTTGTTATAAAAATGTCAACATATTTCTTCCTCAAAGTAATGTAAATAAATTCTTTTTTATGATTTAAGCAAACTTAACATTTACTTTCCAGTGCACGAGTATGGGAAAATGTAACCGGCTAGAAGGTTCAGAGGGGAAGAGTTTGTTCAAGCGAACATTGTTAGCCTGCGGCCAAAAGGCTTTCAAAGTTTTCGTGGCTTGGCTGCCGATGGGTGGCAATATGGCCAAAGGGTGAGGAGGTGAAGGGGGGCGGCTTTGAATTATTGCCAAACATGGTGGGTGGGATGTCCTGCCGAAAGGGGCAACCAATCGGCCGATGCTCTTTTGCCACGGGATAAGGAAAAAAGTTAATTGGCAAACGGCCAAATGAGTTCAATTTGAAGTTGGCTCAAAAGACAGGAAAACAGAGTGAGGCGAGTTGGTTAATGTGGAATGGGTTCATCTGAAAAGCAAAGAACAGTCAAAACTGTTTTAAAAACTGAAATTTATATGGGATATTTTTCGTGTACAGAAACGTGTATTCCGTATAAAAAGTTGGTACAAAATTGGATGAACTGATTTATAGAAATATAAAAATGTTCCTTTGGCCAGACCAATTTAATAATTCAACTATCGCTTCAATAGTATTTTTTACGTCATTTCATTTTACTTGGAAAATAAATGTATAGCTTTCACATATGACGTTGAAGGCAATGAGAAGCATTAACGTAATTTGACTGACATTAGGCATCAACGTCACATATAGAAAACCCCAACTTGTCATTGATAAATTTAGCCTGGCTGTCAACGATTTTTTGAGGGGATTCTTTTTTGTCTTGTTGCTATTTTTAATATGCATTCCATTTGGCATTCGCTAACCCAGATAGGGATACTCGTATATATGTATCTTTTTAGCTACTTCTATTCGTTACTTTGAGCGACATATTTCACTGCGGCGCTTTGCCTCTTCGTCTACCTTTTTTCCTTCTGTTTTTTCCCTGCCTTCTTGGCCATTACCATTAGCATAAAATGGCTGCCGTTTTGCTGTCCATTTTGGGTACCCCCCTCGAAAAGCTTCTTCTAATTACGCTCTTAAAACAAAAAAGTTAATGCATAAAAATAGCTCGTTAAATGCTTCCTCCGCAGCTCAATGACAACTGTGGGTTTCGTTTTTGTTATTGCAAATTAATTTCTTCGTGCATTTTCAACAATATTTAATCAAACAAATAAATTCATTACGATTGAATAATGTATATCACTCTTTCGTTTCAGATCCAAATAATTGAACTATTTTTTATATTTGGTAAGTCCTGATATGTTTGCTGTATAAAATTTCAGAAGTGGAAAAGAATTTGTATCGGAATTTTCATTTTGAAAAAGGAAAAATAAATTAATGGCTTTGGCATTTCACTGAAAGCTTAAGCATCCACCTTTATTTGCGTGAATATATTTTATCAGTGAAAACGATTTAAAGATGAACGAAACTTTCGAAGAATTCAGTTGCTCAAGCTCCGATGAAATGCACCAAATGGTATGGCAAACGATTGGAACTTTTGCAGCTATTGCAGCCCGCATAATGCTGACCCCAAAACTCATTAACTATGCTTTTTTGGGGCGAATTCGAGCAATTTGGCACCGCAGAATATGCAACGCTCTTTGGCCCCTAATTGCTGGCATTTGGCATCCGAAAATTTGCCTGCCCAATGAACCATACCACCCACATCCGACGAATAACCTTCCTTTTTCCCTCTTGATTTAGCAGAAGATCAAGGAAAATGCAGCGGCAGCGGAAGGCAAAATGTAATTTAAAATTTTGTGCGACGTTAGCGGGAAAGTACTTTGCTCTCTCTGATTTTTTCCGCGCTGATTAAACGGCATTAAGTTTGCTCGGTTCAGCTCAAATCAGGACCATCAATTCGCATCCCGCATCTATGTTAAATTAGAGCGCAAACTTTTGATGCAACATGATTGGGTGTTTGGCATTTCGCACTGATTTAAAATGCGTGCTCTTTTTGAAAACTGCATTCGGAAAATGCATTTGGTTTGAAAGTTCAGCGTTCGCGTAATTAACTGCCTTTATTGATGTTGGTCGTGGCAAAACATCGCACACACAAGCCGTTTAATTGCTATTTATTTTCAAATATTCAATAGCATGCTATTTTGGGTAACGTTTATAAATGTTCGCTTTCTCCTCTGCCCGTCAAAATCCCTTTGCACTTTTCAACAAAAGTGAATTTTTATAAATTAATCTTCTTAACAATCACGAGACTAAAAGTTGTTCCATCATCTTAATGATTATACGTACGAAGCCAAATTTGCCATTTTTCCCTCACCTTTTAGAAGCTCTCACTGCAAATTAATTAATGAACCATAATGTTATATCAGACCACGACTCCTTCTCCGGTTGTTCAAACAGGATGAATGAAACCGCAGGAACATAAGCGTGGAAAGGACTTTGGTGGCTTGATGGGTGGATTGTCCGAGGGAGTGGCCACTCAGACCTTCCAGGCTTCGGAAATTGAGCCACCTAAAACAATTGTCAATTAAATTTTGCTCCTGTGGCCACAGTGCTTTCGGTGGGTAGGTGGTTGATGTGAATGCCAAGACACGTTCGCTGCGGTGGTGGAATTTCAATCGGTGGACACTTCCCCGCCCCACGACATTTCACTCCGCCCCCCTGAAGGTTTGCAGACGCGTCTCTAATTTGCATTAAAAGGTGTGCCTGCTGGTTGCACCCCTTTTGGCCACTGGCAACTGGAAGCTGGCAACCAACTGTTGCATGAGTTGGATATTGGCGTCACAAAAGGGGTACGCATAACAGTACGCTTAACAACCCTCCGCAATTCGCTGATTAAATTTTATAATTTTAACGCACAATTTCCCCGATACATTTTCATTGTGGGAAGCCATGATTTGTGTTGAAATGCGTGTTGTCCCTTAGCAAATGGAATAAATTACCCATTGATTAGGCCACAAATTTTTGAAAATTTGTTTCACCCAAATTTATTTATTATTTGGCACGTTTTCCAATCAGCAGTGAGCTGCAATAAAATTGGCTAATTAAAAATGTATGAGAATCGTTTTTCTCTCTTTTGCGGTTGGATTAGGTCAAATAAAATCTCTGATTGAGCACTATTAAATAAACTTATTTGTTTCAAAATAAAGTGAACATTTCTTTTTTTATATTTTCAACGTGTTATTCGATAAAAGAACCTAAGGCACTTCCTATTTAGATTATCAGCAATGGTGCAGCAAGTAAATATATATCCCAAGTGTTTGAGGTAAAAAATAAGTGGAAAAACTGTGAGTCACTTGAAACTGATTGCAACCCATTCGAACACTTTATTATTCCCTTTATACGAGCCAAAATAGAAATTTAATTTCCTAATTGAATGGTTCTGCCATGCTCCCTTCAGTGCTGAATGCTGAAGCCTTAGTCCTGCCATGCTCTCAACTGCCAATTCCCATTTAATTGAAAATTTATCAGTTGCATTTGCATATGCTCCGTTTTCTGTTCCTGAAATTGACATTCATCCAGGCACTTGTGACCCTTCGATCGGCAAAAGCCAACATTACTTGCCAATATTTCTTGCTGTGAATTGCGTTTGTGCTTTTTCAGAACTCTGTTTTTGAAGAGAAATTACAATTTTTGCCCAAATATAAATGTGTTCTTTATGGCATTTTGATTTTAAACTTTTTTCTTGAGTTCTTTGCTTTTATTCCTATGTTATGCTTTTCGTAGCTATGTTTAATAACCATTTGTGAGTGCGATTGCAATGCTGACTTTAATGCGGCTCCCTTATCCACCCTTTCATATTTATTTTTTCATTGACAACGTGAAAAACTTCACATGCCATCGTTAAAATATTTGCGTGGTTCTCACCATGTCATTTCCTCCGCTCCCATCAACATTAACTGACTGCGCCGCTTAATTGAGACTGTCGGCGTGTGGGAGTCCCCTACTTATTAATTTATTTTTATGTTTAATAACAGGCGTAGGGCTCTGGCGCCATTGCACTGGGTGACGCCAAAAAAACAAAAAAAATGGTTGATAAAGCGAACTATAACAATGACATTGTGAAGAGGTCGTAAATTAATACACCAACAGCAAATCGAGCTGGCATGCGCCACCCACCTTGTTTTTATCTATCGCGTTGTTTATCGGGGTGTCCAAATAGCGAGAAATAGGTTCATAAATTTTCCCCATTTTCACGGAACAATTTTACCAAAAGTGGCGAAGCAGGTTTCCTGTTTTAAATGCAAGCGAGTAATTAAAGCCTTGCGGGGCCAAAAAGCCACTTCTGGGGGATTATGGGCATCGTTAGCTGGGCTCCCTCGCCACGTTTGGTGGTCGTTTAATTAATATCAAGTTGATTAATTAGTATTTGTGTGCGCGATAGCCCTCGCCGCAAGGGGAGGGTCACTTCTGGAGATAAGGGTCGCATTTCCGGGTTTAAACTACGCGGAATTGCATTATTTTCACTTACTGCCATGTAAAGGCTGTTCCTGCCAATGCAAATTGCCATTAATTTCATTAGTTTGATTGCCATGACGGCAGGCAATTCCCTTTGTGAATTTTATAATTACCCGAACCGCAGGGCGGTGGAAAAATGTGTCTGTGTGAGTCGTTTGCCAAGTGGAATTACACGTACATGTGATGCAAGCTAGTTAATTGATTGGAGGGAGTGTGAAAATGGCGAAATGCTGTTTGTTTTGTGGTCCCGCCAACTACATACTCCCCTCAAACTTCTGCATATTAATTGCTTTTAATTGCATGACGTATGTTATGTTTTTGAGGTTGAGAAGTCCTGTCTTGATTAAGCATTTAGTGTAAATGAGCATACTAAGAAAACAATTTATATAAATTTTTGCACTTCAAATAATTTGTCATACTTCGAGAACCATTTTTTCGATCCCTTGCTCCAATATCGTTTCTTCATATGCATCAAATAAAATCAATCAAGCTTCTCAAAGGCCCACCTTTTTTTCCGTCTTTCCGTCTTTCCTTATCCCATATCCCTACCAATCGCTTTTCCGCAATCGAAACTTTTCAGATTACCCTAGACCAAAGCAAAGGAGCAAACAAATTTTATATGGAATTATATTGCATTTTTATTACCCACCGCACATAAATTTTTTGTCAAAGCAGCCGGCGGGCACGTAACATTTTAAAAAACAATTTTGGCTTGATACAATTTCTTGTATTATCACCAGAAATGTATGCAAACACACGGACGCAGGCACAGACGAACGGCGCCGCAAAGGAGACCCGTTCAAAGGGGCGTATGGGCAATTTTATTTGCATGCGTGCGCTCCGACGGTCTCCCTGCGGCAGCTTATCACTTTATATACGAATGGGCGTGAGTGTGCGAGTGTGTGTGCGCCTGCGGAACAGGAGTCCTCGACAGTGGTGTACGATATTGAATTGGGGGCCAAGACTCTCTCAGATGCCAAGGCAATCAAACTCCGTGTTCCGCAACACGTATACGCCACCGTCCCCAAAATAGAAGTCAATGAATTTCAAAGAACACAGCCAAAAATCGAATATCTTCGAACATTGAGTATTGTTTACTTACTTTCCACAAAATAGAGGAAATTTTAAAATTTTCAATTGGATAGAAAATGTTATTTTTATTAAGAGCTCGAGATATTCAGGATAATTTTTGGCACTCCACGCAAATTTACTTGCATAAAAACTCTCAAAGCGACAAGGAAGTAAATAATGTCAGACCACCTTATCGGATATCAGGGCGAAACGGGAAGCGAATAGGGGTGGCTGTGTGTTTTTTTATACATAAATGTATTTACAGGTGGAGGGGAAGTGTTGTTTATGGTCTGACAAAGGTGGCGCCGCCTATAATGCGTTTTCATGCCTTATTTAAAATAATTTTCAGTTTACCACTCAGGAAATTACTTTCATTTATTTCTTTTGTTTTTTCTGCACATGGAAAACGGTGTCGCAGGAAAGCCCTCTATCTTCACACCTGTTTTCCAGGTAAATTATGTCTGAGGTTACTTCATTGTGATGCCCAATTAAGTATTAAAAATTATAAAGTAAATCTCAACGGTATGGGAAAATTTAATTTTCCGCCACCGAAAATAAAAGTGACGGCAACCACAAAATTAAAACTCAATATGGGCGAAAGGGCGGGGACATTCAATTAATGGACTGGAATGGCGCACACAAGACAAACCGAGTTGAATTAGTGGCAAACGGCAAAAGACAAACATCAATGTGTGAGTGTGGTAAACTTAGAGAGGGAAGATGGCAAAAGTGAGGGAGGAAAAGGGAAAGGGACACGG